TAAAAATAATACGAATTACATTAAATAAAGTATGTATAATGTGACAATTTATAACGTTCCCATTTAAGCATAAAAAAGGTAGTCTAATTTCGTTCGTACAATCTTTAAGCCTCTCTCCTAAAAAGTTGTAATTATGCAGATGTGACTTTATTACACCAAGGTTGCACGACTTACTAGTCTGATGTATTTATTGATTTAAAAATGACAAAAAAGTTCTAAGCTATAAAAAATTCATGATGTACATATGTTTCTTTTATTAGAGCTATGCCACACGATGCGTTGTATCGGCGTTGCAACGCCTTAGGGCGCGTTCCCATTATGTCGTGACGACAGATAGTCGTGCACTTTAAAGTGTCGTGACATGTATATTTAAATGAAATTAACCACGATTAAATGTCGTTCACGATTTAGACGTTACGACGACAGACTGTAAAGACAATGGGAAGAGCTATATATAGCTATATATAGTCACAGCTCCTATTGTTGTCACGTTTTATTTATCGTTGTCTATACTTTCCCCTCACTTCCCCCGCGCCCTCGGCTGTGTATCAAACGATTCTGTCGTGGAAGGCGGCTGCCGTGAACCGATAAATTGTCGTCACGACAGTCGTACAACGAAAAAGAAACGTCCACGACACAGTCACGACAGACAGTCGTGATATGCGAACAGGTTAAAAGCGACAGTCGCCCAACGTTAAATAAAACGTTACGACACAATGGAAACGCGCCCGACGCTGCGTTATACTAAGGTGGTGGCGCCAATGACAGCCAAGTTCGACATAATTTTTAAATTAATTTCTAATAAGATTTAGGACAAAATTTTCTATCATAAGAACACGTTTTTTATTGATTAATTACTGGGTATTTATTATTGGTTAGTTAGTTTTAATATGTCAAGTAAACTAATCACTATTGATGTATGTTTACAAACAAAAAGGCTATTTTAAATTTAAAGACACATTTCCCTTAAAATATCGATCATTGGTGCCATCACCCAATGATGCCGAATTAGGCATTGTGTTTACGTCTCTGACTTTGAAAATCATTATCTTTTTGAAGAACCATGGTCACCGCTTATTAAGATTGTGGTATACAATGACTTACAAATAAATGGACGACGGGTCTAATACAAAAACCACGAAAAAAATGTCCCAAGTCAACCTATTTAAACGTAGTGACATGTAAAGGAATATGAAAAAGCTAAACCGTTGAATTTAAATTGTAATGTCATCGCAGTACTATCTAATTTTGCTCGCTTCGCTGTCAGTCGAACAAACGAAGACTAAAGCGTGAATGACGCTCTGTATACGATTTTAACGCCCTATAAGTTCGGACACTTTTTAGCGCGGACCCGACGTCCATATAATTGTAAGTCAAAGGTGGTATAACAATGTATATAGAACAAACAATTATAGGTCTAATTGTGAAAAAAGCTATAAAATTCGGCCTAACTTTTATCCTACACTACTACATATTTTCTACTAAGAACTTTGTTCCCGTTTTTTTCTAAGTAATAATTTTAATAACTAGTCACGACGAAAATATCATACTCGTGTAACAAACGGACAGTGCGTTGAACTTGGATGAAACACTGCCGTGAGTCGAGATTAATATACCTATTTGTCGCAAGTTAGAAATAAGTTAACAAACGCGATTAGAAAACTGAAGCACAAAAAATCACAACTCTTGCTAATGCTTATCCTAATACTTTCACGAGATAGAATTTGAGTAACCACTAAACAATATTCCATCCGTTTATTATAACTGCTATTTACAGATGAAACTTTTTTTTTCGGATCTAATCGTGCATATTTGAAGGTTTTAAAAAAAACCAATTAGATCCGAAAAAAAGTTTTATTTTCAATGTGAAGCAATCACGAAAACCTAAAAACTCGATACTATTTGCAGGTTTCTTACCGCGGCATGACCTTGGAACGGTTACACGTTCCAAGGTCACGGGTTCCTTGAGTGTTTAATCGTCATCATCCGGAAATATCGGGAAAATAATAAGAAGTCATATCGTAGTAAAAAACCTGTAAAATCTATACATTAAATTTTTATTGAATTGATTGAATTGATATTCAATTATTTTTTGTGAAATTACTCCACTAGTTTGTTTAAAGATCGAACACTCAGAAAAAACACTCAGAAAAAATTCCTTCGATCCGGTCGGATTCGAACCGACGTCTTGCATACCGTGCCAGACGCTATACCAACTAAGCCACGGAACGAACCAACGGACCTCACGAATTCTTTTATGTGCTTGCGTCGTGTCTTTGTACTTGGTCTTTCAACGACTTTTTAGGCGTAGCGCCATCTATGAGAAATCTATGACAGATTTATCACCCAGTTAATACCTTTACAGCTACCAGTCCTGGCGAGAGATGTCGCTATTCACTGTGTTAATTAAATTTTTATTGAATTGCTATTCAATTATTTTTTGTGAAATTACTCCACTAGTTTGTTATAACTATTAATACAAAGATCGAACACTCAGAAAAAACACTCAGAAAAAATTTCTATATATTTATTGAACATGATGATATTTTACCACCATGATATTTATATATTTTTTGTAAAAAAACTCAATTAGTTTGTTATTAAATTTGTATTTCGACGAAACTATTTCGTCAGTTTGTTCTCAATAGTTTGTTGTTAATCTAATTTGATTAGTTGTTTAGGTGTATTATGAAATTATGTAAGGCTAAATTGCCTACATTGTTATTAATTAACATTTAGTATGGTATATTGTATATACAATGCTGCGCAATTAATATTGGGTTGTTTGTAAAACACTAACAACCTTGCAGGACTTATTACTGACATTATAAACAATTTTTTTTCTATTTTCATTTCGTTCATTCTATGATTTAAAACAAAATACGAGGGAGGGTTTATGAAACGAGCCGACAGGCGAGATTCATTAAAACATCTCACGAGTGTTTTAATGCCTATTTATGTAAAGCTTTATATACTGTTTTATCTATATACATAATAAGCTCTCTATGATGTGCTCAGGAACCGCATGTTACGACTGGCGAGATGGCGGCAAATAAAAACTTTTCTCACGCATGTCACACGACCGTAGTTTTTATTTAATTCATAGGCAAACTAGAGTCGGCCCCAACTATCATATCATTCGATATCAAGTAACGTGTGAAATCTGTCAAAACTGTTTCCTATTGACATTTCATTTCTACTAAAACTTCATGTCGACTGATATTAGAATTGATGTCGAATCAAATTGTTTTGTTTTTCAGAGATGTTCGAAATTAGAATGTAGTAATAAAATCGAATTTGATGTTATTATAAAGCAATAATAACATTTTCACAGATAAGAAATTTGTTCTAACAAAACAGTTTATCTTTATGCTGGTCGCAATTTGCGGTTTTTGAACACATCATAGAGGGTTTATGATATGTGTGTAGATAAACATAATAAATTTACCAAAAACAAACTTTTAAGTTTTTGTTGTACTAATCTGACACAGCCGCGAGCGTTTCTCCTCGACGACCCCGCTCCTGCGATTTACATCGAACTATTACAATTACGCTAGCATTTATTTTATTACCGCACATAGTTATTACTATTCAGAGCGATCTATTTATATATATTTATTTTTGTATGAAAGTAAAATCTGAATAATTATTAAAAAATTTAAAAATCATGGAACATTATATAAGGTATGTATGTGTGTATGTAATAATTATGTTGATTAATTAGTTCCTTGTGTAAAATTAGAATTCGAAATGACAGAAATACCATGTTAAGAAGATTCGCGTTACTTAGAAAATAAATGAAATAACACTTGGTTTGTCTTTTTATATAATAAAGTTGCAACTTAAAGAAAAAGGCGTTAGAGAGAATTTGCAAATTTAAAAAATCTATCTTCCTGTCAACAACCTATACTATAGGACCACTGGCTGTGGATCGTGACAAAGGAGAACCAACACAGGTTGATGATATTACTTTGCTCCCTCAAAAATAAAGTGACCAAGTTAGAAAAATAACATATTTTTAGTAATTGCGTATATTTGTTTTTTTTTTCAAACAAATCAAAGTTCCGGTACAAGTTCCGTGGTCAAGGCTGACTGATAATTAATTTCCAAAGTGCAGCAATTGCAAAAACCTAGAAACTCGAATTAGTTGTCGTGTTTTTAGGTTTTAGCGGTATAGATTTAAATAACCCACACGCAAATTTTTGTCAAAAAGTTGTTAAAAATCAAAAAGAAAGATCTGCAACAAACACTTAGAAAAATTCGTAAGATCTGCTGGTTCTTTGGTAAAAGCATCAGCTACGGTATGGTAGCAGTAGTTCTCCTTATGAAACAGTTCGACCAGGGAAGTACTGCCATCTTACCTACTTCTGTCGCCAAATGTGAGCATTACTGATTTTGAAGGTACAGGCACATGGGATTAATCAACTTATGTCTCAGAGTGACGGGCGCAGTGGCAGTGCTCCTCAGAGCTTTGTGATTTAAAGCACTGAGTGGTACTGCAACTGTTGTGGACAGGACATGCGATGGTTCGAGTCCAGCCCGATTGAATGAAATTTTCTTAATGTTTGATCTTTGGATTAATAATTATAACAAACTAGTGGAGTAGTTTCACAAATAATATTTGAATATCATGGTAGTACAACATCGTGATATTAATAAATTTATTGTAACTAATATATGTATATTTTTTTATATCAAATATTATTTAATCATATTTGGCTTAAAAAGTAATATATGTGTATATATTATTTTTTTAACTCTATGTCGTTAGTTTCCAAACAATATTATTTTTTTCAATTTCGCCACTTTATTATTGAAAATGCAAGTTATCACTTTGAAGTGCATCTCTAAAGTGCAGGTTCTATTCGTTGTTTTATTTGTTAATTTCAAAAACAGAGTATAGAGTTTATAAGTATGCAAGCATTTCTCTTGAAGCTGTAGCACCTTCCAAAGTATCTATGCTAAGCGTTTTAGGACGTTCTTGTTTAAACATATTATAATTAACTTCAGATTAACTCTTAGCTACTAAAATTCTATCTCGAAAGCCTTAATCTATTTCTCCTATTCGTTACCTAGGAGCTTCAATATCGGCTGTAACGACAAAAGTCCTATGCCTCTTACATGGCGAGTCATCTACAAAACACACACTTCTTTGCACCTTCTTACAATCTACACTAGATCCAAGGTTCCTTGGCAACGTTCTCGATTTATAAAAGTCACTTTTCAAGCAATAATCGTAGGTTAATTTTGGTCCTTCGTCGAAATATTTACTGTAGTAACCACCGCACTGGTCAAAAGTCATACTTCTGGAGAAGTCATCGTTTTTTTCGTGATAGCACGGATGGAACGCACCTTCGGGACAGGTGCGTTCACCGGGGTCCCAGAAGTCTGGGGGTTTTGGGGCCCACGGCGGGGGCCCCAAAGGTCATCCTCAGCGAATCGGTTTGGAGACTATGATGACGTCAGGAGCGGAACGGGTTGTCTCAGCACTCATTGGACGTCGGTCAGGGATTTTCTTTTCTGAGGTTGAAAATTGGCTTATTAAGTACATCAGATCGCTGAGATTAAGACATGGTCTTGGTAATTTAAGTTGAACGACAAAACTTACGAGATTTTATGGGATCCTGTTGCGGAACCTGCTTTAATAGCTCCAGAGTGATCTGCGAAGTATTGGATGGCGCGGGGGGAGAGGGACGCACGATGGTAGCTCCGGAGTATCCGAACGTTGAGAATCCTCTGCTGTTTGTGCCATTTGAACCTTTGGGGATATGAGATTAAAGTTAATATTTATTGTGTAAAATGTTTGAAGTTAACACACCGCTTTTCACACATAATTGTGAGCACTTTAGATGTTCTTGTGTCTGATGTGATATCGTCTTTAAGCTATCAAAATTAGGAAATCTAAAGTGTTCACGATTTTTTGGGATCGCTACGGTGTTGTTGTAAATCCCCGCTGATAGTATGATGACAAATATGATGGTTAAAATTTGCAATTGTGCTAGTCATCATGCTACCACTTTGAGATAGCAATAGCGTATTTACTAGCGTTTTTTTTTACAATATTATTACCTAATAAATAGTAAAGTGCATGGTGTCGCAAAGAAAGAAGTAAAATAAAGGCACAATTTAGGCAATAGTGGTGTACGGAGCAGACGTGACACGACACTATCATTTTTAATAATTTTTACAAGGAATACAAAAATATAAAAAAACATTTTAACTTTACCCATGTAAATAGGTAAAGTTAGCAACAAATATAACGTTTCCTATAACACCAACAGACGTAAATTATAATTTTGATTTGAAAATTAAATATTTGTTGAACCACATGATAAACTTTGTTAATGTCAAAATTATGTTAAGTCCATTTGTGCTAAAGGGTACAAGTGCAATAGAACGCAAAACAGCTCAGCAATTCTCAATTGACACTAGTGACATCGTGTCTACACTCAATGTGTATTTTGTGACATTTGTTATATCAAAATTCTATCGAAATGACAGCACCTAATCACGTATGCACCATGTATTGCACGTCTGTACAAAAGTGCCTAAAAATGGTAACAAGAACATTGTAATTATTATCATTAATAATTACCTCAGTAATAGCGCCAAGAGAAGCATCGTGGAAAAGACAGAATTCAGGGAGCGTACAAGTTTCACGAAAAGTAAAAGAAAAACAAATTATTTGAAGACTCGACAAAATACTTGAAGCCGTCAAAATGCCATATCAAACAACCCCCACAAGTATAGGTTAAGTCAAATAATAATAAACCTTATCAACTATGTGATTCTACAAACCTTTAGTCCTTTGTTGCAAATTCATATTATTAGTTTTTCATTATCGAGTTTTTTTCCCGATTGGAATTGAAAATGTTTTTTTTTTCAAATATAAAATGGCGTACATTTGTTTTTTTTTTTAATAAAACCAACGTTTTCCAGACTCTTTTCAGGTCCCATTATCACGGCTGTACAATTTTTCGGTGAATGAAAAAAACAGCTAGTAGAAGAAATCTTTTTTTTTCCCTTTTTTTTAAATGATACGATACCAAGTATTGGGACGACCAAGTCGTGAGTCTTGTAGTAAGCGACAAACCTGTCCTTAATAGTGATAGTGTCACTTTAAATCACAAAGGTATGATCAGGGGCACTGCCACTGCGCCCATCACCCCGAGACATAAGTTGATAAGTCCCATGTGTCTGTAATTCACCAGCACCCTTACCCTTCAAAACCGAAACGTGGTTATGCTCACAGCACAGCTTGGCGCCAGAACTATCCTGAGATAGAAATTCCCTGCACGAATTCTTTCACAAGGAGCACTACTGCTACTAAATGTTTTTGTAACTACAGTTCAGATTAGGATGGTTTCTATTAATATTAGGGATTATGTCAGCCGCAACCATGGGACCTGTGAAGAGCTCGCAGCATTGGTTTGTTTGAAATAACAAATACTAGTAATTCCTACGCATCTATCCTTTAAATAATAATTAAACTTTCTCAAGATTCATATACTCCAGAAGGTAAAATGTTCGAACATCAAACTTACCATCGGAACTCGGAGCAGTATCAGCTTGGAACAAACTTTCTCTTGTCTGGCATCCCGACTCTTTGGTATCAGGTGCACCAACAGAAACATCTCGTATCTCTTTTTTTCCCCTTTCTTCTATTTCTTTTGATTCTTTCTTACTTCTAATAGATTCTTCTCTTTTGCTCATCTCGCTGCGCCTTGATCTTCCGTTTCTTTCTATCTTGATATCTTGCGCTTCTATCGGTGCGCTTTCAACGTTCCTCTGCCACGGTTCATCGTCAAGGTCTAAAGGTGTTTCTTGGATGTAGTCGGAGTCTATGCTGGTTCGCTGTGAAAAATTAAAGGTAGGGTTTCCATCCCGGTAGTGTCGGTCTTAATAATTTCATGAGTTTCGACGGTTTTTTGGACATTTTCTAGATTTGAGACTATGGCAATCTCTGGAAGTTCGAGGCTTCCGAGACTTAAGAATCTTAATTAAATAGTATTAAAAAATCTACTAAACCAACAGTGATATTTTATTCTGATTACATGGAAATGACAACACTATAGTTTATTGTAATGTCTGGAGACTGAGGGTCGTATTCCAGAACTCTACTCAATGCTCAAGTCAGGATTTTTACATTCCATGTCCATTGCAAACAACTCGAGTCATTTAAGTCGCTTACGTCGTTTAAGTTATATAAGTCGTTTAAGTTATATAAGTCGTTTCAAGTCTTTTAAGTCTTTTAGTATAATGACTGGGTCTTATTAATAAAAACTCGAATCCCCAGTCTTGATTTTATAGTCGAGTCCTGAATGTCTTTATAAAACGCCTTAAAAGACTGAGTCTCATCACTAGGCAGACACAACAGTCTTCCACTTGCTACGATCCTGACACACATCTTTCACCTCATCAATACGCATCAGTGCACGCTCGTCGGTTAAAGGTACTCTTAACCGGACCCTTCTTTAGAATGGCCTCAATTTAGTCATTCTAGTTTCACCTTGGTCGGCTTGTACCAACCCGTACGCCTCATAAATATGCTTCGTCAATGTTCTTTTGCTCATTCTCTCTACATATCCCAATCATCAAAGCATCCCTTTCTCTTGTAAGCTACAAATACATTACCAGCTACAAATACATTACCAGCTACAAATACATTACCAGCTGAAATAATTTCGAACCGTAGAAGAATTTAAGTCATACCTTCCTCTGTGAAAAACTTCTTTGTTTCTTAAACATCTCGTTGGTATGATTTTCTCTCTCTAAACTGGCTCTGGGTTCGCTTGTTCTTTGAAGTTTCTTTGCATCTAGAGGAAACCTGCTGTCTGCCAGCAAGTTGTCCAGACGATCTTCGCAGGATTGGCTGATGTGTTCCTGTATAATATTAAGAATTATAATAATATAATAATAATAACGCTCACAATCAACATAGCCCCGCACTAGGGAAACCCTGTGTCGCGGGTGCCATGGACACACACATAGACAACCACAAATTACACCCAAACTCACGAGAGAAATAAATGTAGGCCATACAAATATTTCTCCCGGCCCGGGAATCGAACCTGGGACCTCTGCGTGGCAGTCCGGCAGTTAAATTATAAGTGCAACTTCAAAATTTTGATCATAATCGATGCAGAGAGAAGAGTTTCATATTTCTGAAGAGTTCAATGAACTGTTACCTAACACAAGTTATCTTTTGAGGTCTTTGGCCTTTCTATTTATTACTAAATTCATTGACATAGTATATCTCACCTTTATAATCTTGTGATCCTGGTAAAGTTTCCTGATGCATTTGAAGAGGAATACAAAGCTCATTCCTGATAAGATGAGAGAGAAAATTACAAGAATCACCATGATGTGAGGTTCGTTGATTTTGGATGTCGTCTCACCCTGAAACATTTATTTAGTGTCAGTATTTCTACACGTGAACTATACGATTGATCCTACCAAATGCTTACGATTAGTCTACAGGTATTAATAATGCAGTTCCTTTTAATTAACTAGTCTAAAGCATTTCCAGGTCACAGACCGAAATCCAAAATTTTGGCTTCGCTTTGCTCGTTCCGCATCGATAATGTTTTGATAATTATTAGTATTCAATCCAATCCACTATTAAGTACATTCGGCTGAAACGTCTTTCAGATCACGAAATGCATTTCATGTTCTCATTTATTAATAAATGTTGAACCTGTGTGGCCCAACAGTTTGTACTGTTGGCGCTGGACCTCTGCCGGGTTCGATTCTCGATATCTATTTGGGAAACTAATTCTTATAGGTTCTGGTTTGAGTGTTTCCGTATTGTAATTTTGTAGCTCTTTTATGAATACATAATACAGGGAGTTTCTTAGTTTGAGACCAGGTAATTTGGAATGGACCTCCACCGGGTACGCTTGAAAGGGTTATAACCCTAACTAGCCGTGAACAGGTTCACGGCAATGAAATGGGAAACTTCCGGTCCACAAAATTTATTAAAGAAGTAAAGTTTAAAGAAAGGCCCTAAATGAGCCTAGAAACTGAATTACAGAAATAGATATATAAAGGCTGTAGACTTATAAATTATTACACATGATTAGCTTATTAACAGCTCTGACTGTTGTGGCGGCCGAGCTGGGAGTGACCGTGGTACGAAAACAAAATGAGAAAGTGAAGGAAGATGGAACAATTCAAATTTAAAATTTAAATACATGTAAAATAAAAAAATTATAAGATACAAGCGGAGAGAGGCGATACAAAGAGGTGAGATGACAGTGTAAGGAGGTCACACCGTCACACGCTTCTGACCAAACCTTCGTTCTTCCACTCGTATCAGTCTCTTCATACATGCCCGTTTATTCTTGGTTTTTAAACCCAGCCTTTTTAAAGGACGTCCCCAATCTGATTGAGATATGTACGCTGAGCTGTACGTCTCCTCACGCTTCCATCCATATTCGCTCTTTAAAGAAGGATGGCGAAAGCTTCCCCAATAACGACGAAGAGCCGTTCATGAATTTTGCTAGTATAATTTTGCGTTTTTAGTTTATGTCTAGTTATCAATATGTTTTTGTACATTTATAGAAGTCGGGAATAAAGAAATTGTAAAACATTGTATTTTAGAATACATGCAAAAACACAATGCAATTGATTCAGTTCGACCATAGATTAGGTAACGTTCTTGTACGTACATTTCATTTTAAGCATGATTGAATGTTTACCTATCGGAAGTATTGGATATTTTATAGTACACACATAAAACATTAAAACTATAAAGTACCTAATGAAATAATCAATTAAACAGTAATGGCATAAAGCAAAAAATAAAACACAATGTGACAAAAATATTAAAATATTCAAATGAGAGATAATGAAAGTTACAAAGGAACGTTTTGACAAGAGACCTCTTGCCAATGTCAATGTCACATTGATATTAAGAACAGTGTGACCGTTTGTGGCAGATTTCTGCCATTTGGGCAGATTTAATTTTTATTCATTTTCATTGCTGCAGAACATGATAAATTAAATGTGGCAAAGTTTGGCAGATTTGGGAATATTCGGCAAGTTCTTTATTATTTTTGTGAACAAATTGAAAACTTGTTGTTCCATTGCTACTACGAACAAACAACTGAAGCGAAATACAGGACGATGTTATATATATAACCTATATCAACTTTATAACTCCAGCTTCTACAGGTTGTACTCAATTAGGTTTTTGATGCTTTGATAATGAATCACAAGTGTCCTTAATGCACGTCGCCAAAAACACTGGGCCACAATACACGTGATGTCGCCATCCTTCTTTGTGCTGACAATCTACCATCGTAATAATATAAAAACACCCGCAAGAAATGTGATGAACTAACTTTCAAATTATGCTCCTAAATTGTATAATTGTTACCTTGCACGTATCTTTGTCCTCGTCAGTTTTAAGTCTGCAATTAGCATATTCATTGCATTTTAGTGAGCCATCAATGCAGGTATTGTCCTCGCAGTCGAATTCGTCCTCTCTACACACATCTGAAAATAAATAGCCTGTATTGCAGCTCATTTCAGTCATCGGGTATCCATTCGTACAAATTAGTACATATTTAAAACTGTAGATGGCGACATTTTTAATGAAAAAACATATAAAGTGTTGAACATCGAAAATTTGTGAACGCAAAACTATTTAAACATAATTTTGGAAATGTTCAATTAAAAATCTTTTGCAATTATGAAAATGGTGAAAACGGTAAAAAATCGTTGAAAAGATACCAAATCGAAGGTTTCTCAACGGTCTACTTTTTTATTTGTTAGTTTGTAATAAATTGTATACACGGCATTTCTTTGAATTTATTCTCGAACATACTAACGTTTTAACACTGACTTTTACTTTAAAATATTTATAATACGGACTCAGCTTCTTTGCGATTTTATTATGTCATTGTACATAATGTATTATCAGCGCCTGAAGAAGAGCAAAATCTTGACGAAAATGGAACAAAAGCTACCGTCTGTGGGCCTTTTCAAATATTATTACATATTTATTAGAGTTAAAATTAGCGTCAGAATATGCGACATTTCTTTGTATGATTTTTGATATTTGATTGCATATTGTACTAGTATAATATTTTATCTATGCTTCGGTAGTACTTCGACGATTTTTAATTTCAAGTGAAATATAGGCAAACAAGTTTACTTTCACAACAAACAGATAACCTTGGATGAACGAGTAATTCTAATGCGTTGCTTTTTAAAATAAAAATTTATTCGTAAATAAACATATCGTCGCTGAGCAAATAACACCGCACAAGTCATTTGGAAAAGTTTTAAAGGAGAGTGAAAAACTGCACTAATATTATTGCATATAACATTTTCTAGTCTATTATTGGTAATAAGTGCTCTATTTATTGATAACACATTGTATACGAGTTACTTGTAAAATGTTTATTGATATTCACGTTTTATTTGAACTTGAGTCTTGTTTTTTTTTCAGACGACGGGACGAACAAGTCGTGCGCCTGATGGTAAGTTACACGCCTGTCCATAACAGTTGCAGTGCCACTCAGAGCTTTAAATCGCAAATATCTGAGGGGCACTGCCACTGCGCCCGTCACCCTGAGACATAAGTTGACAAGTCCCATGTGCCTGTAATTTCACCAGCACCCCTTTCCCTTCAAAACTGGAACACAGTAATGCTGACATTACTACTTGGCGGCAGAAATAGGTAAAGTGGCAGTACATCACTCGACGAGCTTTTTCACAAGGAGCTTTACTGCTTCTTGAGTAACGTTCAAAAGTAGAAATCACCAATTTTCCAATTGAGCGGTGTTGTCTGCCAAGAGACGTTATTTTGTTTTGATCACAATATCTATTTTTTTTAAATATTGTAAGTATACTTAGAAAAAATTCCTTCGATCCCGCCAGATTCGAATCGACGTCTTCTAGCAAACCATGTCAGACGCTATGCCAACTAAGCCACGGAACGAACCAGCAGACCTCACGAATTTCTCTATATGCTTGTTTTGTCGGATATTTGTATTTGGTTTTCAACGACTTTTTAGGCATAGCGCTATCTATGAAAAATTTATGAAAGTATTTCGTCACTCAGATACCTTTACAGCTACTAGCCCCGGCTCGAGATGTCGCTATTTGCTGTATTTAATTTTTTGTTGAATGATATTCAATTATTTGTGTGAAAGTTGATAATTGAATATCAATTCAAGAAAAATTTAAATATCCTAATTATAATTACATTAAAGAGATGAAAATGTGACTCTTATGACCTTTTTTATTCTATTTGAATAAAAAAAGGCATACAAGCTGTATTAAATTTTCAAGGGTTCTTCGATCAAAAAACCCAAACATGATGTCAATAATTTCAATAGAACTTCTAGTTGTTGCTTAAAATTTCTAAATGCAAAACTCAAATCATCTTGTACTTGAAATCGTCATATTAATTAAACTCTACTGCTCATTCCTCAAGGAAGACTCTCCTGAAAAGAATAAGCAAGAAACTCTGGGGCTTGTTCTTTGAATATTTGAATACATTTAATATTTATAATATTTATATCAAACATCTTAGATTGAGACTATTTGCAAGAGCTAACCGGGTTACTACCACGGATTCTGGCCATCTAAGTACGCAGAAGCTGCATAACAACCTTTAGTATAAAGTTTTTGTTTCACTATGGTTTTAAAACCTCGTAAGTTAATTTAAAAGGGCACAAGAGTGTATTCGTATGCTAGCTCTGCGACAAAACGTGGGTAGTCTTACCGTTATCTTTATTTGGATCCAATTGTCTATACGCATTGAAGGTAGCGTTGAACGTTGATCCCTTTTCAGCCGTTTTGGAAGTATACATCCTGATGTACATTATGTTGTCTTGCGAATTTACTGCGTTAGCCACAGACCCACAGTATATGGCCAATCTGAAATGAACAATTAACAATAAATATATACCTGACAACAGCTTCAAATCACCTTGTATCACTAGGGAATGATTTGTACTATGAGTACCAGAGTCACGAAAATCACTCCCAGGCACTTTTCAGAATGTCCGCGACCAATTTCCAAAAGTTGATTTTTCAGATTGGTCTTTCCACGAATCGATCCAGCACCCACAGCGCAAGCCGTTGGATCACCAAGACCGCCATACAGTTGTTGTGTAGCGATGTTAAAACAGTTTGATGCTTAAAAGTAGTGTCATTAGGATACGTTTGACAAGATCAAAAAAAACAGTTAACCGCGACTGTATCTATACAATTAATAATTTGCATCGCTACTGCATCGCGTTTGCATCATTTTTGCATCGCTGCTAAAGTCGCCGTGTGTAACCGCTCTAAATACGTCTGAATATTATGGACAGCGTTTGTTGCTTTAGGACTTACAGTGGATAATTTCCTTGTGTAAGTCCTGGCGATTGGCAACAAATGACATATCACATGATTCGTGCGTTGTGATAGCATGTAAATAAAGCTATTTTTGAGTACCCTGTCGCATAAGATAGGGATACAGTTTTTTTATGATATCAATTGACAGGACGAGACAGGATTTCTTGCTCTTAGTGGTAAGCTACACACCTGCCTATAAACCTTATAACCTTGCAGTACCACTGAGAGCTTTAATCAGAAATGTCTGAGGGGCATTAGTATTAAGGATACCATCATGGATCTCTCGCAAAGCTCGCATCACTGCTTCGGGATAGAAATAGGTGTAACACCATTAGCATACCTATTACTGTCGCGATGATGTAGCACAATCTTGCCTGATATAATTCGAATTCACCGAGAATCTACCAGCACATACATACAAAAAATGATCTTTATTCTCCTTAGTGCTGGCTAATCATGTCTTGTTTGGAAAGAATACTAACCTCTTTTCCTCTTCCAGCTCTCTACCAAAGATTTGTATATAATTCTCTTCACACTCATTCGGCTTAGCAAGATTGTATGCCGTGAAGTTGAGATAAATCTGAAACATAAATTATAAATTTCAAAGCTATTGGGCCACAGACTTATAACAGCTGAAGGGTTTGATATTCGGCTTTCCAAAACAAAGCTGTTTTAGTGCTCTTCTAAGGAAAATGGTGCATTATTATTATTTATTATTTTTATAATTATCAAGTGACAGATCTGCGTCTGTAGCTCTTGAGACATAAGGTTAACAAGTCCTATGTGTCGGAATTTTACCAGCACCAGCCCTTTTCAAAACCGGAACCAAGTAATAAAGTGAGTAGTTTACTGCTTGGCGACAGAAACTTGGCAGTACCTCCTTGGACGAACTCTCTCACAAGGTCTTTTGCTAGTATTGCAATTTTTCTTATTTAGTCCAAAACAGTGACACATTAAAGTGGGTGTCCTACAGGGAACGGTACTGTTACCAAAATTGTTACAATACCTTCGTTTCAGCGGCAGTTGTAATTTTCCATACGACATCAAGACCACGGCTTTCGCTCTCGCTAACAAACTTCTTGCAATCAGGGTCTATTTGAGAAGTATCTATTACTCCATTGGTCACGTTTACCACTTCTTTCATACATGCACCTGGTATTGGTCCTAAAGTTGATAAAAAAATGTTTTATAGGTAGTATTATTTAAATTTTTATGCTCGCCAATCGGAAAAGGCAGAATATATTTATCTAAACTTCAAGGAAGTAATCCGCATAGTGTAGATAATACCTCATTCTGAAATTTCAGAATTATTGTTTTACATTCTTGATATTTGACTTTTGTAATTGTTAATAAAAATATGACTTTTATTTTTAATTTTTCCTGGGTTTCAAGAGGAGGTATTATACACTTTATAATAATTATGTTGATTAATGCTTGATAAATACAAAGTCCAACAATTGTTGTTTCATTTCATACAATAAACGTTTGTAAAAATCTGAAGAATATAATATATAATTACATATTTAAAACGCGTTTGAAAAAAAATTGGTCCAAATTACCGACTTTCTCCTATAAATGAGTCCATAACAAAACAATGAAGTACTCACGACTCTTGGCGGCTTCAATTAAATCGATTTGAATCTGGAATCCAACATACTCGATGGTGCTATCCGAGTGGAATTTGAGCCACAGATAAGGTCCCGATGAATGGATCACCTGAGGAAAGGCGTTACCGCAGAATTTTCCTAATGATTTTGCGTAGCCATATTCACCGTCTCTTATCTGAAATTGAAAGCACAGCAAATACTGTTATGTAATACTAAAGGCGTCATGTAGATTTCCTACAGAAACACTGCTTATCGGTATTTTACAGGATATATCACGGAGAGAATTACACGATTTAATTCCGCCTTCCCCTTTCCACCATTGGGAGACTAGACGTAGGCTTGGATTCCATTCCTATATTGTGAACATTCCAAAGATTCGCACGAAGCGTTTTATATCCACATCCACATTTATATGGCGAACGGCTATGGAGTGGAAGTCCCTGTCTGCAGACAACTTGGACCTTTTCAAGGCGAGTTGAATAGACATAATGCATTATGTGCTTGCTCCATCGTCGACCTCATCGTCACTTTCCATCAGGTTATACGTAAGGTCAAATGCGCACTTACATATAATAAAAAAATTACATATAATAAAAAAAAAACAGAATTATTACTTGTATTTCTTTTTACACAATTTCACATCTCGCATAGACTTAACATGGTTGCCTTAGCGCGTTTACACGTATTACGTATTCATTCCGAATCCGAGACAATACAAATCTAGAAAACTCGGGCCCACTTCTGATGTCACTTGTGCACTAAGTCCGAGAAAATAAAATATCGCTTTTGCACCTAGAGATACAGTGATCCCTGTGACATTTCGGATCGTCATTTCTCGGATTCGGAACTGGGGGGCTACTCTCGATCCATTCGAAACAATTACTGTCAAATAAGCAATACTTGACCAAATGGAAAGACGCGTGATGCGAATGAAGCTTCATGCTTGATACTTGCCTTTTAATTTTGTCGAATATTACTTATTTGACAGTAATTGTTTCGGACGGATGGGACGTAGTGCGCAATCGCTCTTAAGACTCAATTGTTTAAGGTTACAGATCGAAATCCATAATTTGGGCTTCGTTAAAGACATTGGGGTGCACGAAAGAAGCCTCCTGGCAATGGTGCGCTATTCACGTCCTTTATACCCAGGTGCGCCTGGGCAACAATCAACACTTCAGCATGGCGTCTACCATTAGTGATACGGGTAGCGGCAATAATTTCTGGACCACAATAATCTTTTAAGACCCAGAAAACTACAATGGCAAAAGCGCTAAGTGTCCAATTTAAATTAAAACGTATTAAATCGACCCTTCCTACGTAAAGTATCGTATGTCGAAATTGTCAAGTTTACAGGGGAGCTTTTTAAAGTTTTGAATTCATTGAAATGTGCATAACACGTGATTTTAGCATTTCTCAGTTTTATTCGGCAAAGCTCACATTAAGTATTATAAAATCCTAGATATCGATTAGATAAACAACCACAATTTACTTTATAATTTTATATTAACGCGGATGTGCGTCAACAAGCGGGTATACTGAAGTTAATTAAGTGTAGTGAAGTGGACGGGTCGTGTGACAGTATAAAATTATAAAATAAATTGTGGTTGTTCATCTAACCGATATCTAGGCTTTGATAATACTCTATGTGAGTAACGAGCTTTGTCGAATAAAACTCGGAAATGCTAAAGTCATGTACTATGCCCATTTCAATGAATTCAAAACTTTAAAACGCTCCCCTGTAAACTTGGCAATTTCGACATACGATACTTTACGTGGGAGGGGTCGAAATATAAGCAATGCAATGTATTCCCATTAAGTATGAAAAACGCAACCTTTTGTGAAAGTATTTACCTAGATAGCCTGTGATCATAACAGACCATAACAGCGGTAAATTTGTGTGCGATATTTTTATTATATTTTACACTGGGCGTTTACGAAATTGAATTACTGCACATTTATTATGTACATTTTCATGCACACGGGATCTTAGGAGGATGATATAGTATACGCCTTACTTTCTTAAACTCGTATCAAATAAAGAGTGATTATTGAGAGACGGCAAAACTTTCTAGTTATTTTAAATTTCTTAACAAGGTTGTTAATGTGGATCCATTGCTTCAAGAATTTGATGTGAAATCAACCAGCAAAATTTGTATATACAATCCATTTTTTGCATTTCAGTAATTTTGTGCTTTATGATACGAATTGGGGCCTGTATGATTGTATTTTTAACCGACGTCAAAAACAGGAGGAGGTTCTTAATTCTACTGCATTTTTTTTGCATGTCATACACGATGTTACACAATTACTCATTTGGCATTTTGATGGTCCTTTTTTTGGTTGGAAAATATTCCACCTCTAATGGTGGTAAACTAGGGGACGAATTCCTTCTTAAAAAAAAGTTATGATTATTTTTGCCTGTTTCAAATGTCGTGATACCTTCAAGTGTTTTAATTCACATAATCATTTCATATTGGTGTAAGTGACATGTAATAATATACCTAAATAAGACCGAGAAGTTACTTTGCAAGTACCTAGGTATCCATCATCGCTTAAGTGGCAATTATTCATATTGAAAAAAAAAAGTAATGTTGTATTTCTTGTGTTGGATTTATTAATCCTAACGGAAAACAATGCTCTTAAGTATCTCAAGGAAGTATAGATATTATTTAAGTGGTAAGGTGGTCTAGTGGAATTTCTATTCTAATGTCTCTAAGTAGAACAACGGGGGTAGCCTAAATAAATACGTTTACCCCGAGTAACCTGCACGTACTACCTACCTGTAACTTTAGGCAAGCTGGTTTAGCGCCTGATTGTTAAATTGATATTATAATGGCAACACTAATTAATTATTTATTCATTCATTTAATTATTGATCAATAATATGAATGCATATTAATAATGTAATGTGTAGGTAAATGTGAGTTTATATTACATATTAGGCGAATGTCTTTTGTCGTGGACAATCGATGATAATAGTTCTGTTTATATGTATATACAGGGTGAAAATTTGAGACGGGGCAGCAAGGTCAGCCACCTTAATCGTTGTAGTTACAGGAAAACGGTTCTAGAAGACTATCCATGAATTTTGAAGATATTTTGATTGGCATTCACAGATTTTGAAAAAATGGTACAGTTAGCATGATAAAAGGCAATTTTAATAAAACTTTTTTTTTATGCTATTCGATCCAGTCTCTGTCAAGGATCAATAGTCTCTATGGGACCAACAGAGGTAAGAGTACTCGAAATGTCAGAAATTGTAAAAAACTTTTTACCATACATTTTGTAGGGACATAATTTTAGTAATCAGTTAGTTATTCTAGGTAGTTAAGGAAACTAACAAATTGACAACATATTATTAAATGATTTTTTTTGATCGCGTCTCAAAAAAAAAATCATTTCTCAATCAATCCAACGCAATTGTTGTAATTATTGATTTTCCGGGTTTACCGCCAAACACTCATTAAGAGTCGTATTCTAGAACTCTACTCAATGCTCAAATCAGGATTTGAGTATGGTTTAAAGCATTCGAAATCATACTTAAGTCCCTGCCATTAGGGTCGTATTTCCAGTGCTTGTGTTTCCAGTGCAATCCTGACTTGAGCATTGAGTAGAGTTCTAGAATACGACCCTAAGTATATGTATATTTCTCGTAATTGACTGTTACAGCCGCATAGGTACCTAGTCAGTCACTATTACTTTGAATTTAAGTCCTTCTACTCGGATTTGGCATGACTCTTACAATTCGAAGCCCTACTGGGCGTAGCAGAACGAGGAGAGGTCGGGAAAACAAAGCCCCGACGAATTACGACGTTTTAAAATAAGTCAATGCCAAAAGTCCGTCTGGAAGGGTCTTCTATGTTACCTTTCGATGTTCAATAGCGCGCCATACGCGATTATATAAGCAAAAGAGGAAAAATATATAATACATACGGAAAAAGACTAGACATGTCAAGAATTAAGAAGGAGAAAAGGAAATAGAGGGACTATGGCAATTCATAATGAAGAAGAAGGTGATAACGTCGAAACGGAAACAATGAAGAACAATACAAAATATTTAGGTTATATTTAGTAGATTGTGTCAGTTAGTAATTATTATAAAAGTAAATGTTATTAATTTTTTTTTTAATTTTATTGAAAGGAGAGATTATAACAATACGGCCCGCCGTTCCCGCCATGACGACACGAAACAGTGGCGTGAGCGGGCGTGTATCGCACGTGTACGTGAAGCAACAAACGTTGTTTTATTGCGCTAACCCCCAACAAACGCCACAGTGACCGTCATTTACTTTTGCTGTTGATTGTACACACGCCAGCACATCAAGCTAGACATTGACGTATCTTGTTCCGTTGTACTGGAGGCGATTTTCATTTTCAACAAAAGTGTGTAGTCTGATGTTCCGTTGTCTAGTGAGCTCAAGATACGACAGTTGTAGCATCGCCTATTTTTTTTGTTAATTTTTATATGTGGGAACTCATCACCAGAATTTGAAAATTTATTTAGTTTCTTAAGTGAATGTTTGTCTGTCCGTTCTTCGATAAGAAATTAAGTAAATAAATAAATAACTTACTTGAATATAATCATAGTTACAAGTAGGATGATATTCGATATGAAATTCATTGATGAAGGTGAGAACTACTTGTTGTCCAGTTTGACCTGTAAAAAAAACGAAAACGATTAATTAGATTCGGGCGTTACTTTGCGTAAGTCCATGTTAATAAAAATGGTAGTAAATTAATTTGTTATTTCGGAGTGGATGTTAAATCGTGCAGAATGCCTGCGCCTGTGTTGAATACTTATCTACCTTATTTCTATTTCTGCCGCCAAGTAGAAATGTGATGGTAAAATTACAGGCACATGGGACTTCTCAACTTATGTTTCGGGGTGACGGGCAGTGACAATACCCCTCAGATCTTTGCGATTTACAGATAGTCTTGCAGTTTAAAGTACCATGGCTTGTATATTTAAATGAAATTGTTCACATATAGTACAATACGATTAACTGTCGTTCACGACTTTTTGGCGTTACGACGACAGACTGTCGTGACAATGGGAAGAGCTGAACGACTGTCGTCTGACGATGAATAAAACGTCACGATACAAAATGTGACGACAGCTAATCGCAGCTTCAAACGATTCTGTCGTGCAAATGACAAGGCGACTGCCGTGAACCGATAATTGTCCTTACGATTTAGTGGGAACAGCTAGACACGATAGTAGTTCAACGATAAAATAAACGGCCACGACACAGTCACGACAGATAGTCGTGGTATGGGAACAGCCTAAACGCGACAGATTCTCACGAAAAATAAAACGTTACGTCATAATGGGAACGCGTCCTAACTGTTGTAAAATGGACAGGCGTATTGCTTACGATAACGCGCAAAATATAATATTTGTTTTATGCAGTTCTATTTTCCACCCTCTCTTCGTATAATTGTAGTGTATTATTAGTATAATAGTTTATGTGACTGTTACATAATGAAGTGCATTAAAATACGAGTGTTTTAGTGCCTAATTATGTACAGTTGCATACACTGCTTTATCTATACACATATTAAAAGCTCTCTGTGATGTGTTCAGGAACCGCATGTTACGACTGGCGACATGGCGGCAAATAAAAACTTTTCTCGCGCATCTCACGCAACCGTAGTTTTTATGTAATTCATAGACAAACTAGAGTCGGCCCCAACTATCGATAGAAGAATAGAAATTTGTCAAAATTGTTTTCTATTGACATTTTATTTCGAATAAAACTTAATCTCGACTGATATTAGAATTGAGGTCGAATGAAAGTGTTTTGTTTTTCGGTGATGTTCGAAATTTGAATGTCATAATAAAATTGAATTCGATGTTATTATGAAGCAATAATAACCTTTTCACAGATAAGAAATTTGTTCTAACAAAACAGTTTATCTTTATGCTGGTCGTAATTTGCAGGTTTTAAACACATCATAGAATGTTTATGATATGTGTGTAGATAAAATTAATAAAACAACACAAGCGCAACTATAGTCAGCGGCACCACTACTAAAAATATACTCGATACTTGTTTCGTCTCACTACGTGGCATTCTCAAGTGTTGATAATTAGTTCATCATTCTCAGGTGTTGCTAGAATTCTATTTTTCGGATGAGATTTTGTACGATTTAACCATAACTGGGTTTACGGATGAGCAGAGTATTTTGCATCCATTTTTAACCGGCTTCGAAAAAAGGAGGAGGTTCTCAATACACCTGTATTTTTTTGTATGTATGTTACGCGATAACTCACTGTACTGGTTCCATTTAAATTTGAAGAAAATATTCCACCTCTAAAGGTGGGTATCCACTAGGTTCGCGCACCGATTATGCTCCGCACACCTGCAACCGCACAAGTGGAGACGTTACGCGCAACACAATGAGAACACCAAGTGCTACATTACGTTCGCACATCGAATCTGCTCATAGTTTTCATTGGAATTAGTAGCTAGTGCGGCACACGTTTTCATTGATTATATTCTTCATGACTATAGAAGGCCTCCTCGGTTTTGGGAATCTGATATATCTATAAATAAAGACCCAAGAATGCGTTGTTATTGGAGACTAGAACGAAATATTTTTCTTCGGACTTCTTAATAGTGACGAATCCACGATCACAAAATCGTTCACTGCTCTTCGCTTTGTGTTCGAGCAAAAACCGCCAAGGCACGGAGCGCTCACCGCGGAGCGTGCAATGTTGCATGCGACCGTATCCACTAGCGGAGCAGTTGCAGATGCGCGGAGCACAGCCGGTGCGCGAACCTAATGCATACGCGGCTTAAGGGTGGCAAATTAGGGGATGAATCCGGCTTCGTGCACTTTACAGTAACCGATTTCAATAAAACTTGCCAAATATATGTAATTTCACGAACTTTGAGGTCGGTTTTTTTAGTACTCTGTACTGAGACTATTGTTAACAATTTTTATTTAAATAATATAGTGCAACGTGATTTTTATTTCTCGGTTATCAATATTATTTTTTTATTGGTTCTAACATAGAAACATAACCGTGGGTCCCTTTGGACCACAGACGAAACTTCAAACGACAGAACTTCAAGAGTAAACGCCTCTGATGACCACAAGTATGGATAAATTTAGGGAAATGTTGCCAGTCTTCTGGGGACGAAGCTCCAGGGAGCGACTGGCGAGAAAATTTTCAATTTATGCACTGGAAAGTATTTACATTTTTATAATAAGATTTGTCTAGCATTCTATCTAAAAAAGAAAAATTCAAGTATGCGTGGATCAAACATGCTACAGTTTTGGTACGCGGGTCGGATACTTCTCCTGTTATCGCCGTACGTACAACAGAAGATATACGCAAAATCAAATAAAATAATTAATAGGTTCTGTGGTATATACTATATGTCCATCCTTCTACATTCCAGTTTTATCTTATTCCCATTTGTTATGTTCATTACGATCAATCTAACAGCTATTGTATGATGTCAGGCTTTAATTTTAATTTGCATTTAAATCTGCACCAATATGTTTCATGTCATTTCATTCATTTCATGTTTCATTTTCAGTGAAGAGTTTACGTCTGTAGAGAGACTATGTTATATTATCATTAATTGTTTTATGGCACTAGCCTTATTACAATTGGTTACAATTTTTTATTATATGTTTTGTCCTAATGGCTAATAAATTAAGTGCTTATTATCAAAACTCTCGTGGTATACGAACCAAGCTGCACTCGCTGTTCATGAATATACTCTGTAATAATTATGAGGTCATTATACTGACCGAAACCTGGCTAATACCCACTATTAGTGATAATGAATTCATAGATCCACGGTAAGCAGTTTTCAGGTGTGATCGCAACCGGATAGCTATAGGCAAAAAAGAAGGTGGTGGAGTACTCATTGCGGACCTGCGTTCTCTCTTACCGGATGTATAATCATGTACAATCAACCAGCATATGACCTTTACAGACATATTGAGCTTGTACGCGTTTCAGTGCCTAATCCTAACAACCGAAAGCGCCATGTCTTCACTGCGGTATATATACCAGATTCCTCTCCGCTATTAGTTTATGAATCTTTTTTCAAATACTACTTAGATAATGTATATAACCATAATGTTGACAATGTCTTCATCATCGGAGACTTTAATATACCGGAAGGGCAATGGGCCTTCAGCGACAGTTCCTGTATTAATCTCATTATGGTTGGTTCTTCAACGAAATGCACGTGCCTAAATAATTTTATGTTTAATACGCATACAAAGCAATATAATCACATTGAAAACGCAAATAAAAGAATATTAGATCTTATATTAAGTACAACAGCGTGTTTCATTTATCAGCCTGCCCTACCCATTACAAAGATTGATGACAATCATCCCCCGTTCTGTAGTTTGGTTGGTGTTGACATAAAACAAAGTAAATCCCTAAAAGGTAATGCGCATAAGAGACAGAATTTTCAAAAAGCTAATTATGTTGCAATTAATGAAGACCTGAATAATCTAAACTGGAACACACTTTTTGAACGTCAGAGTATAGAAGATGCCGTTAATATTTTTTACGAAAAGCTATATAAAATAATTACATCACATACACCTTTATCTAGGGCAAATAATTCTCATTTCCTTGTTTGGTTTTCCACCGCGCTTATTCTAATATATAAAAATAAAGTCAAGTACTGGACTAAATGGAAAATTTGTGAAAATAAATCTGATTATGAGGTATTTTCGTTAGACAGGGCCAGATTCAAACTAGCGTGCGAGGTTTGTTACGCCAAATAATTATCAAACGTTAAAAACTCAATCTCTAAAAATATGATATACTTTTGGTCATACATAAATAACCGCCAAATTAAATCCGGTATACCTGCACAAGTATATTTTTAGGACCAATGCTCAGATGATCCACAACGTGTATGTAATTTATTTTCTGATCGCTTTGGGTCTGTATACGAACCATCAACATTCGATGCAGGCAGCCGGACACCGCCAACATCTTGCTCTAATAATTGTACGCTGATTTCTCATTTGCATTTTACAATTTCTGACATTGAGTTACAACTCAGAAATCTTGACTCTACCAAGGGTAGGGTAGGGTATGGTATACCTGCGCTGTTTATTAAATTATGTGCCAAGAACCTATGTATACCAGTACATATTCTTTTTAACAGATGTATTACCGATGGTTTTTTCCCAGCAATCTGGAATACTGCAAATATTGTACCAGTGCCTAATAATTGAATGCGTCATGACGTGGAGAACTATAGTCCATTCTCAATTCTGTGTGCCCTGTCGAAGGTTTTTGAAAAATTGGTACACACTAAGTTGTCCGGTAGTCAAACATGTAATAATTCCAGACCGGCATGGTTTTGTGGAACAAAAATCCAAACACAAACTTAACATTGTACATTGGATATCTGTTCGAAAATATGGATAGACGAATCCAAGTAGATGCAATGAATACGGATTTTTGGAAGGCGTTCGAAAGGATAGACCATGAACTACTATTCTACAAAATTGCCTACAATGGGACTCGAGGTAACTTACTCCGCTGGTTCGCATCGTATATACTAAATAGAACACACAGCGCCCTACGGTGAGTGGTAGGCCAAAGGGGAAACCCCAAGGTCAGCCGAGCACCGATGTTGGTGCTAGCACCACACCAGCGGTTGT